ATGACAAAATACTATGTGAAGAGGGCATCACAATAGGCAACATATATCTCCGAGTGAAAGTGATAACAGATAAGGACGACCCTCACAACACAACCTACTGCGTAATATGAAATCACAGTTTGTTTTTATAAAATTAAATATTCAAGGTGGCTGTTTTGATTAAATTAAAAAGTTGGGTAAAATATTCTAATCCAGTTTTACACAATCTGCTTCCATTTATAACCGTTTATTCTTCGATCAATTGAATTAAAGCTTTGTACTTTCCGCAAATTTTAACTGATGTATCCGGGCGTTTGCAACTTAAGATTACTTAACAGTATATTGCGTAGAGTTACGATCAGACTTATAGAAACACAAGCAAAATTATTTGCATTTTCGACTACGTTTAATAAATATATCCTCTACTTCAAATGTATATATCATTTCACATTTAAAAAGTTTTTTATTGGTAAAAATTTCTAAGGTTTTCTAAACTATAAAGTAGTTAAGTTTCATTAACATATATTTTGTACAATTTATTAGTTTGCTATTATAGCTTCTAGGGCAGCCACAAGATCTCCACTTTGTTCTCGCAAAACCTTCTCTGCTTGAGCTTTAGTGATTAACATTTCATTCATCTAATAGAAATCAACTATTAAAATATATGTTATGTACAGAATATAAACCAATAATTACGATTATTTCAATGTCTTCCTTTTTAACATGTACTTTCTGCAGCTCCTTTTCTTTAGCTACCTTTAACTCATCTTCTTTACTACGTTGGTTGCCAAATTGTTCTACCGCCTGAATATCGATGTATAAAAAAGTAACAAGTCTTATTTTTTATTAAAATTTTTAAATTTTAGTTTTACTAACGCTGGATATATTAGCAGCTGATATTTCTTTTTCCTCGGCATAATCTGTTACACGTTCCAAATCTGCAGCTCCGCCATCGTGACGAGTCTGTTTTTTTTGCTTTTTGTCCTGCACTTCATCATCACCACCATTTATTTCGTGTTCAGACATTTTCCAAATTTAGATTATAATTCTCACTGTAGTATTAGATATAAAATGTGCACTAATAAAAATGTTTAATATGTTAATCAGTGTTGTAAGTATAAGAAAAATAAATGTATTGCAGAGTTGCAATTTTGTAACGCTGAATAAAGCAATAAATTTCAATAGGTGCTTTTGGTGGCTCGCAAGTGTGCAAAAAAAAACAAATTGCTGACCTATAATTGCTTAAATGTACACAAAACGACTCGATTTTCTCTATCTAAGCAAGTAGTTGTGAAGTATGTTGCTCTACAGTTTAAGTAAAAATAATTATTCTTAAAAATATTATTTGCATACATATGTGGTTAATATTGCATTTAATTCCACACGTAGTTATTTGCTGAATAATTATTAGTTATTCCACAAAGTATCACATCAAATTTACACAACTCTTTTTACGATATTTATTTAGCGTGTTAAACTCGTGAATAAATTCTAAAGTATTCAATTACTAAATAGGAGCATTATGAAGTTATTATTTGTGATTACAACTTGCTGAAATCTATTAAACATTACCAAAAAATATGATTAACAAACTGTTGTCAACTGTTAGTACTGATAATAATTTGCAAAAGTGTCATATATTGACCTTTCAACAAATTAATTAACGCATATATAACATTTGAACATCTTAGCATGCTAAATAAAAATCGTAAAGCGACTGCACTACAATCGTACCAAACCATTTCAACTCATAGTTTTATCACAATTTGAATTTTTGACTAAAACCGTTCGTTTAGCTGTGAAGCTATTGGTAAGGTAAGTGTCGTGTTTGCATGAAGAAGGCCAAGGAATTTATAATTTCTTATCTTAAATCGAAATGAGAAAATCTATACATTCATTTATTATTTACACCAAGAAGAACAAAATACCAAAAAATTTTATTCTAGACAATGAGAAAATATGGTAACAGGGTATATTGAAAAGCAAAATTGAAAAAAAAGTTGCTTCTCCATATTACTTTCGTTTCATTTTTAGCTAAGTTCAAATGCTATTTTACGTTTACATTGTGAGATTAAGAGAGCGAGATTAAGTTTTGTTTTGTTTCGTTCTGTAAATAAAGCATTTAATAACAATTTTATACAAAAAATTTGTAATATAAATTTAATAAATAGTTTTATAACAATTATCTCACAATGAAAACACCTTATCAAAATGTAAAAAGGCTATTTTTTTAAAGCAGAAATTCTTTATTAGTTGAGTCTACGTTTAGACTCAATTAGGTACTATTAATAAAAAAAATAAAATTATGCACTTTTTATAGTATTGTGTTATTTTACTATAGGGGTATTCAGGATGTCTGTGCATCGTTGAATGTACATCTTTGCAAACTCAAATAATCGTGAATTCACTTTGTGAATATTAGTCTTTGAAAATATTTAGAACAGCTGATTTTTGTTTACGTATTTATTTACTTGTAAAATATAACTCAGATTCGAAATGCATAATTTTAACAATGCCAAGAAAAAAATGAAAAGCAGAATATATTGCCATTTTCCGACATTGTTGGTCGTGAAATGAAAATAAAATCAAACAATTGCCCAAAATCACAAAATCAAACAAAACTTGACAGTTTCGTTTAAGTATTGCCTAGCGAACCGTAAAAAAAGTAGTATCATTCACAATAGAGTCTTGAAAATCAAATATGCAAGAGATAATTGGTGTTGAAAATATGGTCTTGGATATTGTCTTACAAATTAAATGCAGAATCATAAGAAAGAGAATTGTTTTTGTAAATAGTATTCAGACATTCTGAATACTTCTTCTATATTATATTCAAATTTATATATTATTATTTCGGTTGTTTAATAATATATACCGGTTCGCTAATTGAGGTAAATTAAGTGTAAGCATTACATAATACATAATAAGTCTGTTCCACGAACTACTCGCACTAAAATTCAAGTAAAACACAAGTAAAGTACAAACTGAGAGCGTAGCACGAATAAAATGCTAAATTACGCTCTTTACACAGATTTTCAAGGAACAAGTTTGTGTAAAGTCTGGTGAGAACACCAGTGCCATGCAAATAAACAATACAAAAATTTAAATTTAAACCAAAACAGCTGATTCACATTACACAAATTTTACTTAAAAGAAAATGTTCGAGTAAAGTCTGTGTTGCATTTTCAAACCGACAGGGATGTTATGCTCCCTCAAATACTCTAATGTACTCGAAATTTTGCTGGTGGAACGCACTTGTATATACACAGTGCTGAAGTTATTACGAGTAGCTCGTGTAACAGACCATATAAAAAAATAAAATATTTTATTACTTTTATATCAAATTTAATGTTTAATTTAAGTGTTTATATATTTCCGTATAAGCATATAAGAGTTGTATGATATATAAAACATTTATATTTTATTTATATATTCCCCTTCTTAATTTTCTTTTTGCGGAAATGCATTATAAGTCATAGAATGTATAATTGAATATACAATATTCTAAACTCAATGTATATAGATATATTTAAAGCAATAAAAAAGCCCAATAATTATACATATTTGAGGGTAAAATATTAACACATAATTAAATTAAATTTGTAATATTGTTATTATTGCATTTTTAAGCAAATTTGATTGAAGAATTTTTATTAATATTCATTATTCTTGAATATTAATGTAAACACCAAATATTTTACTCACAGGTTTTCGTAATGTACTAGTCTGTTAATTTGCTGAGATAGTGAGTTTCACATCTTCAAACACAATTCACTTACCTCATAAACATATTTTTTACATTGTGTCGTTGCTTCGATTTTTCTGTGCGGTGTTTGTGGCTTGTGGTTTTTTTTTTAAATTATTGCAAAGTGCTGAAAATATTATAAAAAGCCTTACAATAATAGTAAGTACAAATAAAAGCACATTGTTTATTGTGTTTTATTTAATAATGACTTAGATATGAGTTTGCATAAAGCGTTAATAACTTGGTTAAAAGGATCTAAAATGGCGGACAGTGGCATAAATAAATGGACAGAAAATTGA